TAGACCTGTGATTTCCCCAAAGCATCATCATTAAAGGCTTGCCGAAGCATCCCAACAGTCTCGGCTGCAGTTTTCCCTAACAGAAAGCAAAATTTCACGCACACTCTTTGTTCCTTCTGGTCGGCCATCTCACTAATCGCCAAAGGGTTGAAACAGGAACGCACACAACAGAGCACCACAGACAAACCACTTAACTCAGACTGACGCCAGCTCACTAACAGTCGTGGGAGACCCCCAGCTAACACCACCTAGCAGCACAACTCGTAACTACAAAGCATGCGTGCGCAACAGGTCGGTTCCGGTTATTTTTGGGTCCCCCTTCCTATGTATGTATGTATGTATGTATGTGAACAAAAACACATGTACTCAAAATGTTCTTATTATGTACTATCTAATAAAAGAAGAATATTACAGTGGCTTGTAAAATCTTACCACACAGAAGGGGTGCTGAAATAAGACTGACTAAGAATAATATGTATGGTAGAAACAAATGTACATTGTAATGTATATATGCATTTGTACAGTTATTGCACCAGCTGGGTAACATTATGTAGCCACTATCTGCAGAAATAAACAGATAATGTGCTTCTACCAGTATGTAAAAATAAAAGGTAGTCTAGCAGTCTAAACAACAATTTAAATATAAGGGGTTTCTGACAGTAGTATATGGCAGCAGTACGCATGAGAAATTTTGGATGTTGTCTGTTGTCCTGAATTTGTCAAAACACAATGTTTTAGAAACTGGATCTTTTTTGTCATCTTCCTATGCTCACAAGGCATGTAATTCATATTTGACATTAGGTACCTTAAGTTGTGAAGGTACTGTTGGTGGAAACTAAACTCCCAAAATAAGTAACATACATACAGGGTGTCCCAGGAGGAATGGACCAAACTTCGGGAGGGTGTTCCTTATGTTAAAGTATGCTGATATAACCCAAAACACCTATGTCCAAAGTTGAACGGTTACAGAGATAATGGCCCAAGAAAAGTGTGGTCTTCTGGTAGGTCCACGCACTGTACCTGTCAGCTGAGAGGCCTTATCTATGTTTGTCCTTGAGTGCTGTGATTCACACTAGCCGTGCTTATGTGGTTGGCTTATGCCAGAACGCGCAGTCAGCACGTTACGTCAGCACTTGCCATTCATGTGTCATGTATAGTGCTTGGAAACCCTAAGGACAATTATGACATGGCGAGCGAGTATTTTGTACTTCAATTTTATGGCTTCATGTCACTCACAAGTTAGTTTGATGTTACGTACATTATTAACATTACAGAATCCACATATTCCTGCCAGTTTTAATATGTATTTTGTAATCAACAAGTGTGCAATGCCAGTCAAAGTTTGACACTTCTCTGGCCATTATCTCTGAAACCGTTCAACTTTGGACATAGGTGTTTTGGGTTATATCGGCATACTTTAACATAAGGAACACCCTCCCGAAGTTTGGTCCATTCCTCCTGGGACATCCTGTATATGAGACAATACAGACATTATATTATATGGCTTTGTCTGTTCTCTGTTTATGAACAGATCTGTGTAGACAACATATAAGAAAATAAGTCCATGTTAATACAGACATTATATTATATGGCTTTGTCTGTTCTCTGTTTATGAACAGATCTGTGTAGACAACATATAAGAAAATAAGTCCATGTTAATACAGACATTATATTATATGGCTTTGTCTGTTCTCTGTTTATGAACAGATCTGTGTAGACAACATATAAGAAAATAAGTCCATGTTAATACAGACATTATATTATATGGCTTTGTCTGTTCTCTGTTTATGAACAGATCTGTGTAGACAACATATAAGAAAATAAGTCCATGTTAATACAGACATTATATTATATGGCTTTGTCTGTTCTCTGTTTATGAACAGATCTGTGTAGACAACATATAAGAAAATAAGTCCATGTTAATACAGACATTATATTATATGGCTTTGTCTGTTCTCTGTTTATGAACAGATCTGTGTAGACAACATATAAGAAAATAAGTCCATGTTAATACAGACATTATATTATATGGCTTTGTCTGTTCTCTGTTTATGAACAGATCTGTGTAGACAACATATAAGAAAATAAGTCCATGTTAAGAGCTGAAGGACATTTAAGATAGTAATGTACACACATAATACAACTTGTAAATAACAAATATGAAACTTCAGTGCAAAAGAAAAAGAGGGGGAAGGATGTACCAGGCAACCCACATGCTAAGCATGATCTTCAGTTTCTTGTGTTGATCTGTGGCCTATTTGCACAACATTATCTGAAGTATTTGATGGTTGTACTAAGTCTGAAGTCATCTTCAAGTTGACAGGACAAAATTCTGCGGGAAAGTAACATCATATTAATCAAAACTATTGAGTCAGAAAATTGGTGATATAGAAAAAGGAGTTGAAATTGACAAGGCCAGGTACAGAAAGAGGTAAAACCAATGGAGATGATAAATTCAAGTGGATATTTAGAGAATCAGATGTGCTATTCACGGTAGCACACAGAAAAACAGGAGACACGTGTCAACATAATGGAAGAATGAATCAAATTTGGCACAACATTGCTAACATCTGAAAATTATATGATTACATAGGTGCTGAAAACTTTATTCATCTCAGGGAAAACCACTCAATATTGCTTGTTGGTGAGCTCAATACAAAATGTTTTTTTAAAATGAGAGCCAATTGTTAGTAGTGTTAATAACATCACATATTTGAGGTATAGGGCCATTGTGGCAAAATTATGTGTGTAATATGGTGACTTTTTAAATGAGAACTTGATTCAAAGTAAGGTGTTTACGATGCATCTTGTTACAAAAAGTTTTGAAAGTTTGCACCAGCACTACCAGTTTGCATACATAACTGAGTATGAGGAAGCGTGTTTATAGTCTCTGCATACAGCATCGTCGTGCAGTGTCAGCAGTGTTGCTGGATATGTTAGTTGTCACTTGATCCATATTGCATGGGTTGTTTTGGTAGGCACTGTCTGAAATGTGGCCCCATAGTTCTCTCAGAGTAATTTGATCTCTGATCAACAGCAACCACCCATGCATAGTTGCCCATGCTGTATGGCATGATATGCTGTTTTGCTAAAACCATGCTACAGCAATTTTGTCATCAGTAAGGTATCAATGGAACTCATGGACTTTTACAGTATAGTGTTGAGTTAATGGTTGTTTTCAAAGAAAATTGGTCCAGCAATCCTATGGTGAGACACTGCACACCTCACATCAATCTTGACTGGTTGAAGGGGAGTTTCATGGGCTGTATGGGGATTTTTTGTCAACCACTTATGAGTATTTTGAGAGTTCATATAACCTGTAAGATAGAACCATTCCTCATCTGAGTAAAAAGTTATGTCTAACATGCAAGTCATTCTCCAACTTTGCAGACAGTTACGTATGATAATGATGTCATTTGAACGCCTCTGTGGTCTAATGGCTACAGATCCAGAGGTCTGGATTCGATTCCCGGCACTACCAGATTTTCTGAGAAGTAGTGAGTCTGGAACAGGGTCCACTCATCTTCATGAGGTTAATTGAGGAGCTGTTTCAAGGAAATAGCAGCTCTGGTCTCAAAAACCGAGATTAACAGCCATGGGGATTCATTGCAGTGACCACACGACATCCTCAATCTGCTAAAGTTGGCACTAACTTTGCTGACAAGCAGTGGTCGCTTGTGGACTAAAACCACAGAGTTTAATGATGTAATTTTTCACAGCCCTGTGGTAAAATTGCTAACTAACATGCTCTTTGTATGGAAACAATTGCAATGACTTCACTGCTTTGCAGCAACTGTTTTATGACATTCCCATGTATTGTCTGAGTTTCTGCAACAACTTGTGCAGACTTGCACTTAGTCTCTCACTAACCTCTTCTATACAGGTCTCTGTAACAGCAGTCAACTGACAAACACATTTTGCTATGATCATGTTTCCAATCTTCATGAACTGTTTCACAGACTTTCATATCACAGACTTTGCTAGTGCTGGACATCCAAATTTACGAGTTATTTTAAATGATTCAGTTTTTAAGTAACACTTCACCTGAAACACATGTTGTGTACTACATGCACTGTGTACTTCACGTAGAGTTTGGCCAAAATGGTCCTAGCCCTCATTAACATTCCTAACATTGGGTTCTCAATTAAAAATATTACCCTGTATTTGCACATAACAGATACACGGTACCTGTGCATGTTGAAACTACAGTAGGTGTATGAAGAAACATATTTAAAGAAAACTGTGTTTAACATGCCCAGTAATTAATTTCATTTATTTGACATTGTGGGATTGTCAAGGCTCCAATAGACAAACCACTCCAAAAAGTTTGCGGGATTTGTCGATACTCCAATAGACAACCACTTCGGAAAGTTTGCGGGCCCTGAAAAGGGTCGTTTGTTCTACTGCGGTAGATAGTTTTACGGCCGTTCGGCTGGTCTGTCTGGCCAGTGATGTAGGGCTGCATTCACCGGTAGAAATAGATGTTGGCTACAGCGTGTTGGCTTATGTTGCGGCAGCTGAGTTAGTTGTCTGGTCGCAGTGCGGCAGTTGCCGGAAGTTGCCTGGTCACAGAGCGTGGTTGCTGGAAGACATCTGGTCGTGGAGCGCGGTTGCTGGAGTGGCGGAAGCTGCACCAGTTGCCCGGTGTGTTGGGCATGACCACCGGAGAGCCGAGGCAGCTGTCCCTGACGCAATGAAGAGCCAATGACTCCGAAGACCGATCGCTGTGATGGCTGACTGGCTGATGTGGTCACTGAAGATTGCGAGCTTTGGGCTTCGCCTTTTATACCATGCTTGATGGAGGAGCGAAACTTGCAGTTGCGATTGTGAGCGCTGATTGGCTAGCGCGTGTAATGATTATGAGTAAGCTGGGCATCGAGTGCTGTATAAATATGAGTGGTGGCAGCAATGTGATTGGTTAGCGCGCGTGATAGTGAAAAGCGAGCTGGACAGCGGGTGCTGTATAAATATGAGAGCTGACAGCAATGTGCTATTGACTTAGGAGTGAGTGTTGTCCGTTAATCGGCAAAACAGCGTGATAGTATGTGGGATGTTCCCACAACATGATATAAGCCAGGGCTTCAGAAAAACACTAATGTACTTGTCACAGGTGAGTTCATGGATTGGTGGTGAGCATAAAAACATGTATGCGATGCATACTATATAACTATGAATGAAGGGATTATCCCAGGTGGTTAATGGATTTCAGTTCATTTTCTGAATTTGCAGTTTCCTGATCAAACTCAAACCATCATGACTTATCATTGAACTTGGATTTTTACGCACAGGATATGTCCTCTTAGCAATGATTTTAGCATGTACTTTAAGGTATTAAAATTATGAGTAATAATAATGTATTTTCAATATTATATTTAAGCATCCTGTTGCACTCTACACGATAAATGATACAAAATCCGTCCCAAGTGCAAACAATATATACTATATGTCCTTGATTTTGTTCTCCTCTACACTACATGTTTCGGCCTCTAACGGCCATCATCAGGTGTATACTCTTACGTTGCTACCACACTGAACCCAGTCTAAAATTTAACATTTAAAAAACACATTGTTATTTCTTCGTTATTATCAACACCTACCTCGTTGATATCTGTCTGGTATGTAGATTATTTTGCACACGTCAATTTTGGTTTTTCTGTACTAGCAGTATAAAATCTTTAGTTATAATTTTAAAATCCTTTAAAAATTTCTCTAAATTTTAAATTTAAAATTGTTAGGGTCAATCGCCCTATGTCTAAGTGCTGCAGCAGCTAGTTCTTGTTTCCACACTGTACAGGTGTTATCTGTAATATACAAATATTCATATTATTATTTTATGTACGTAATATTTTCTTATGTGTTTGTATTGTTATTTATACTATCTCTGTGTAGTCTTCCTGTGTGCGTGCCGCTGCATGTCTTTACTACGTGTGCTGTCTGATGTATTGTGTGCTGTGTCTTATGTTGGTGAGTGTAGGGGGGGAATGGGTAGTGGGGAGAGAGAGGTACCGTTATATATCACAGTAACGTAAGAGTATACACCTGATGATGGCCGTTAGAGGCCGAAACATGTAGTGTAGAGGAGCACAAGATCAAGGACATATAATATATATTGTTTGCACTTGGGACGGATTTTGTATCATTTATAATGTATTTTGGTTGTATGTGTATTTCTTGTGTGCATGTGGTTTGCAGTTTAGCAAATAAACAGGACTGTGAAGGAGCCCTAGATGAACTGGATGTTGTGGAACGCCTCAATGTTGAAGCTGTGGTGAATCAGCATCGTTGTCACACCCTGGTGGAAATGTGTACAGCTACAGCAGTAAAAAATTCCCATAGGAAGTTGGATACAGCCATTCATAATGGTTTTAGGTGAGTTGTATATATACACAAAGTTATTAGTGACATCTGCCTCTGCTGTAATTCAGTGAACATTGCTTCTTTGTTCTTTCTTTTGTACAGCATCTATACAAATTAAAGTTTTCATCTTGGCTAGATCTTATAGTTCTATATAGCATGATTATCTGATAGCCTGCTGTAAATTGCTGAGCCACTCGGGTAGAAAAAACTCACACTGTATCTGTCCAGCCAACTGTTAAGACTTGGACTGCCACTGAAATCAAAAAACCTATAGGCCATCAAATCCCAAACTTAACTCACCCAGATTAACTCATATACAGCAGTGCTGACCCTGTTCTTATGCATGCATTCTTGGCAGCCCTGACAATCTCTGGTTCATACTTTGAAGTTTCTTTGCAGAAACAGCGAACTTGCAATCCTGGTCTTTTGTTCAAGGTATCGGATTTCTGAAGAGAATGTTCAAGCCTTAGTACTGATTTCATACAGTCTCCATTGAGCACTGAGCATTTTGATTTTGTTCTTGTTTTGTCCATTAATGACCCTGCCTCCTTTAATTTATTTGTGATTGTGTGAATATTTTTCTGTGTAAAACTGTAACATTATGAAATTTATGCTAGTATCTTCTCCTTACCATTCCTACATAACCATTTTTCACATAGGTATCATACATGCAGCACTTGTTAGCTATGTTTGACAGGAGGCTGGTTTTGTTCCAATGTGTTGTATCATATATGCTAATGATTTCATTGTGTTCATGATCTAAGTGCCTTTATTCCAGAGGAAATAATGGAGAAATAAGTTTGCCTGGACTTAAACCCATGAACATTTTGAAGTGTCCAAAATGTCCCTGGAGAGGTCCTCTCCTATCATGCTAAATTTGGTTGAAGTAGGAGCAACACTGGAAATTTGTAATGAACAAATAGACATAATAATAATAATACATAATAATATATATTGGATACTTATTATTCTTAATTACAGATAATCACAGCACTTCTGTTCCTCTTCATAATGCACAAATAATCACAGTACATTTTGAGTATTTCCAGTCTGCTGTATCTTCACATACTCACTGATTTCGTACAACCTCTCTCCATCATGTTTCTATACAGGTACTTAATGGCTGTTGCTTCCGTTTAACAAACTGCCGCTGGGCCTTCCCAGCATTCTTGGTTTCTGGCCCAATAGGACCCATGACCATATTTTTCTGCCTTACAACCATTCTGTAACTGACTGACTGCCTTGCAGTGCTATGGCTTTTGGGTAAATTACTGTTGGCCTTCACCAGCACAGTCATTCTTAGTTCCAGGTCCCCTCGGGACTCATGACCATATTTTTCTCTCTCGGTATAGTTTCAGATCATGCTGGCTGTGTTTATACAGCTTTGTGCATGGACCAGTGTTCCTTGACTGTTGTGTGTGAATTATTTGCCACAGAAACATGTTTTAACAACCCATTGCATAGCAATGGACTCCTCTGTGATGATTCTTGGACCCCAGAATTCTGACTTTCATTCATCTTGCCACAATAGACTGGTATGAACCACTCTGTCCTGCATAATCTTCCTAACCTGTCACTGGATTTTTTTCCTTTTTTGCTAGTACTATCTCAAGTACAAATTATAACTTATTTGATGTTACAGGTTACCATACTGTAAACAAATACTGTTATTCAGTATTTGTGAGGCATATAATGATACATTATGTAAGAGTCGAGTACCACTATAGGGACTGTACTTGACTAGTTTGAGCCTGTATTTGGGCCAGACAGTTAAATGTGATGATGCAGTTATTACTGCCAGCCTTGGTCTGTTACTCTCTAATATAATGTATTTGTGTTTCTTTAGGTGGTTGATTAATTGCATTATTAGAGATTACAGTAACCTGAACAGTCGAGTGGAAAGCGATGTGGCTGTGCAAAGGAAGCAAGAAGAACAAGAGAAGAAGGAGCGTCTTGAGAGAATACGAAAAGCAAGGGAGGAGAGAGGTGAAGACATTGCAGGTGGTATTACAGTAAATGGAATCTGCAATGGAGAAATCCATGATGATAGTGATGGTGACATTGTCATGGCAGACCCTTTCAGGCCAATTGCTGATATAATGGTGAGTTTTCTGTCCCAGCATAAACACAGTCTTGGTTTAATGGGCTTCTATAACATCATGAAATCAGTGTGAAACATGCAAGTGGGTAATGGTGCATGCTAGACGTGGATGACCTAAACCCAGAACATGCTCAGTTCTACAGATCATGGACATACGAAGGGGGACCCAAAAATAACCGGAAACGACCTGTTGCGCGCACATGCTTTGTAGTTACAAGTTGTGCTGCTAGGTGGTGTTAGCTGGGGGTCTCCCGCGACTGTTAGTGAGCTGGCGTCAGTCTGAGTTAAGTGGTTTGTCTGTGGTTCTCTGTTGTGTGCGTTCCTGTTTCAACCCTTCGGCGATTAATGAGATGGCCAACCAGAAGGAACAAAGAGTGTGCGTGAAATTTTGCTTTCTGTTAGGGAAAACTGCACTTCACTCTTCAAGTCGCGGCAAACATTCACGCGGTTTTCTCTTTGGTCATCTCCGAGCAAGCGAGGAACAAATTTTGCAGACACCCGTCTCATGTGCAAACCTTCGGTTAAAATTCGCTGGACCGTGCTCCATGAGATGTTCGTTTCCTCAGAAAGTTGGTCAATGGTCTTTCGACGATCTTCATCAATTGCACGTTTGATTTTGGCAATGTTTTCGTCATTTCTTCCTGTCGAAGGACGCCCGGGGCGTGGCATGTCTTCTGTTGACATGTTGCCAGATTTGAAACGGGAAAACCACTCGTAGACCTGTGATTTCCCCAAAGCATCATCATTAAAGGCTTGCCGAAGCATCCCAACAGTCTCGGCTGCAGTTTTCCCTAACAGAAAGCAAAATTTCACGCACACTCTTTGTTCCTTCTGGTCGGCCATCTCACTAATCGCCAAAGGGTTGAAACAGGAACGCACACAACAGAGCACCACAGACAAACCACTTAACTCAGACTGACACCAGCTCACTAACAGTCGCGGGAGACCCCCAGCTAACACCACCTAGCAGCACAACTCGTAACTACAAAGCATGCGCACGCAACAGGTCATTTCCGGTTATTTTTGGGTCCCCCCTCGTATGCTTTCTAGAAATATCAAACATGTAGTTAGGTTCTCATCAAAGTATGTATTCTCTTTATGTAATAAATTCTGAGAACAGAAAAAATTCCAACATCTGGATTTCCCTTTTCAGTTTCTTTAAAAATATCGTTTGGATATTTCTTTTCTGTTTATCATTACAGTACTGACTGCTTTGGTATTGAATGCCCACAAATGTTCAAGCCTAGAACTTGAAAACCAGATACTGGATGAAGATTGAGTGAAGTGCTGAAATGATATTTACCTTAGCTTACTACATCATATTATTTACTGTATAGGGAAATTAAGAAAATTTGTTGAAGAGGGATATAATGTCATGTAATTCGCTGAAAGTCAACAAACATTTTGGAGGAACATATCACCTCCATCTTAAGGGTCAAAAATAAGCCAAGCAAGAAACCAGCGTGAAAACAGGTGTCAAGCAGAACAGTCAGCTTGCCAGAATTTTGGATTATGTAGGAAACAGGAGGGAGCTGGAAGAGCGGAACTGAGTTCCCATTGGCTCACCCACAGAACAGAATGAAATTGCCAGCACCCACTGGCTTTCACACAACAACCGAGCAGAACAGTAGGAGACAAGAACAGGATATCACAATGGCCCTTAAAAGGGAACATTTTGCTCATCTAGGAAAAGACGTGAGAAGTTGTAATGGTGTGGTGGGTGGGAAACTGACGAGTAAGGGAGAAAAATTGTGTGTGTGTGTGAGCCATAGGCATGTGATGGAGGGTGAAGGAGCAGAGGCAGCAGAAGGGAACTGGGACAACAGGGTGGAGGCTTAGGGCTTAGCCCTCCACCGCATGTCTGTGACTGAAACACATGAGCTCTCCCTTACTCATCAGTTCCTTGCCCACTACACCTTTACAACTTGTACTGGTTTTTCTTATAACATAAAAAGTGCCCCTTTTAAGGACAATCCTCATATCCCGTTGTTTTCTCCTATTGTTTGCTTGGTTATTGTGTGAAAGCCAGTGGGTGCTGGCGGTTTCGGTCTGTTTTATGGGTGAGCCAATGATAACTGAGTTCCGCTCTTCCACCTCCCTCCTGTTTCCTAAATAATCCAAAATTTTGGCAAGTCGATTGCTGTGCTTGCCACCTGTTCTCATGCTGGTTTCTTGCTTGGCTTATTCTTTGACATTGAAGATGGAAGTGGCATGTTCCTCTGAAATGTTGGTTAACTTTCGTGGGACTGCACAACGTTATATCCCAGAAGATAGTGCCCTTAATAACCACTGCTGTGAGAACTTCAGATCATGCAAGACAATAGTTTAACAATAGAAGTAAGAATCACACTGTCATAAACCATATTATGTAGTACGTGTACTGCAGCTAGCCTTTTAGTGAATCTAAATCCATTGTCAAGGAAATTGGTTGTTCTGTAAAAGTTATTAGAACATTCAGTTAATTTAACTAAAGTAACTAACAGACTCATTCGATGGAGCTGAGGCCTTCCTGAGCAGCCACCAGTTGCTGAGCTACTCAAGAATTTCTCAAAATCTTATGGTACCAAACGGTTCATTACTTTGTTTACAAGAGTCTGCCACTGGTCCCTATCCTGAGTCAGATTAAACTGGTCCATACCACCACATCCTATTTATTTAAGATCCATTTTAATATTATTCTACCACTTATGTCTAGGTGTTCCTACTAGTTTCTTTCTTTCTAGCTTTCCCATCAAAACCTTATATGCATTCCTCTTCTTCTTCATGCTTGCTACATGCTACATCTCATCCTCCTTGACCCGATCATTCTAATTATACTTGACGAAGAGTTCAAATTATGAAGCTCCTCGTTATGCAGTTTCTTCCAGCCTTCTATTAAGTCATCCCTATTCAGTCCAAATATTCTTCTCAGCAATTTGTTTTCAGATACCCTTAGTTTGTGTTCTTCCCTTCATGCACATTCTTGCAGGACAAAATTCGCCCTCTTTTGTAAGAACCAGTGGGTAAATGGTAGCATAGTTTATTGATGAATTATGCTACAAGCCAATGAGGTAAATGGATTTTTCAGTTGACCTAATCCTTCCAGCTTCATTATGGCCCTGGGTTTGACTCAGCCTCTGACAGAAATGAGTACCTGGAATCTTCCTGGGGTTAAAGGGCGGCCAGCATGTAAGGCTGACAACCTCACCACCATGTGTGAGCTGACTGTGGGAGTTTCGACATCTCACAACCCTATGGGCCTCCACGGCCTGTTACAGAGATAGTTTTACCTTTACCTGTTTTTTTAGGCTGAATGTTATGAATGTTACTGAAACCTTATATACTTATATGAAATATATTAATAAATTCAGGTAGACAGCTCAGGAGTTAGAAGGAGGAACAGAACATTCATGCAGACAGATAAAGAGTTGTTTCACTATAAGAAGTTTTTACAGCTTTTGGTTAATTAATTTTTCTTCTAATCAGATTTGTTTGCCTCCATGAGATTAAAAATTGAAAGTTCTTAAGTGTCTGTTTTCCATAAGTTTCGTATTGTTATATGTTTGGGTAGCTATAGATGGGATTTGGATTGGTGACTTGATATATTGACCACTTTAATGCACAATTTATGACCACACCTTACAGTTCACTGTAACACACTAGTGTTTTCAGTCTGTTACAGTCTCCACTAGTCGTTTCCTAGCAATGGCTTCTAATGGTAGAGATTCTTCAGCTTCTATGCTCACATCATTTGCCCACTTGCTAATACTCCACAACTGAACTGATTGCTTCTACTAACTCCCAGGCTAACAGCCATCTCACACCAACCTCCTAGTCTTTGCTTCACAGACTGGCCCATTGCTCTAATTGTCCTGCTTATAACTTCTTGGCACAGATTGTGTAAAAACAACGTTTCCAACCATTCCTCNTAAAGGGTCGGTGAAGCACACGGATGTCGGTGCGGAAGGGTTAATGCATGTGGATTCGTTGCCATTGGAACGTGTTTGTTTCATGGTTGTTAACTAGTAATGGGTCGCTATGCTACAGTATGTTTGCCTGCCCCTATGTACTCTTTCTTTCCTGCTGCAGGAAGACATCAAGAGCCCTGTACCTCCAATTGTGGAACCAGAATTGAATACCAGAGTAATTTTGGTGAAAGAATCTCCAAAGAAAATACAGCCTAGTAATGAAGGAAAAGAAAACCATTTTGATGGTTGGGATAGTAATAGACAGACTAGTAATGTGAAGAGATTCGTGGACATTGATGGTGATGAAGTGGTGTTAGTTGCAAGTGCAAGGAGTGGGGAAAGCTTGATATCTGGTGCTGATGATAAGAACTCTCTTGGGAGTGCTGTCATTGTTGGAGAGTTTCCAAGTCCTTCTCATAGTGTCACAGAGCTTATCAAAGGTATGCATTATGTACTTACCCAAGCAGTTGAGTTTCAGTGATCTAGATGATTCAGAACTGCTACAGTAATCTGCTTACATTTCAGGTACAGTATTTCATGTACACTTTTATGATTAAGGAAGAATAAATCTTTGCAAGGCACAATTAAATATTGACAAATTGACGCATAAAAACAGTAAATTAAATTAATTTTATCTCTTGTCTTTTGAATACAATTACACCCATAATATGACTCCTTGAGTGCTTAACCTTGTCAGTATGGAATTCATTTACAATATTCAGGAGCAGTCATTTCCTCTATCACTTTCTGACATCCCAGATTTTTCCAGCGTAAGCAACATTGTGCCTGATTGTACCCAGCAGTTCTTCTGTTGGTCTGAACCAGAGCAAGGAAACTGGGGCTTTGTGAACAAACAGTGTGTGTGTATAGTATATATGAGGGTTTGAACTTTAATAGTGGCAACACTGCTGTAGAGAAGCCATGCAACCGAACCAAATAATGTCGCTTATACCACACGTTAGTTACATACCTACCTTACCTCAGAGCAAATGGACTCTCGCTTCCCACATCATGCGCATGCACAGTGACGAGAACAACAGAGCCTCGTCTTAGCTGGCGGTCTAATGTAGTGTTGTCATGATGTTTTTGAAACAGGAACAACGGAGTTGGATAAAGACTGAATATGCCAGAGGCCATACAGCAAGACAGTGTCATCAAGGTCTTCAAGAGGCTTGCAGAGAATCTGCATTGCCTTACAGAACAGTGGTAAGGTGGGTAAAAGCCTTCAACGAGGGATGCCAAAATGTGGCAGACATGCATCGGCCAGGTCATCCTAGTGTCAGTAAAGAAGTGTATGCTCTTTCCGCATTACTGGAGAGTGATCAATGCCATACAATTCGTGAGGTGGCCCGAGAGACAGGATTAGTGCCTACAACTGTGCTTCACATTCTGAAGGAACACCTGGGCATGAGAAAAATTGCATCACAATGGGTTACGCATGATTTGATGGAAATGCTGAAATGGCAAGTTGTGGCTGATTTGTTTTTATCGATGGGGCTGGGAAGTGCTGTACCATCCACCATACTCCCCAGACTTAAGCCCTTGTGACTTCGACTTGATTCCTAAGATGAAGGAACCACTTTGTGGCATTCGCTTTGGAACTGTTCTAGAGATCTTCAGGCAGTAGACCGCTCCATTTGAACTATTAACACAACAGGCAATGCTAAAGGTATCCTACGACTTTCAGATCACTGGCAATGGGTTGTACACAATGCTGGTGACTACATTGAAGGACAGTAAAACTATGAAACATGCATCTATTTTGTATCAGCTGTAAATAAATAGTTGCCACTATTAAAGTTCCAACCCTGGTGTGTGTGTGTGTGTATATATACATACAGGGTGTAAATAAATATATGTTACAGCGCTCTGTGGTAGATAGATGGATTCAGTCTGATCATATTTTGTTAATACACCAATATCCAGAAACACTTCCTTTTGTCACTAAGGGTCACAGAAGTTTCCACATGGAACATGATCCAATACTGAGTAGGTTACGGTCTTCTGGGATGACATCAAGTATTTTCAAATCTCACATGAACTAACACTGCTGTCTATCTCTGAATTATTCACACACGTTCATTTTCAGCATGGTACCAACAGAGGAGAAGTACGTATGGCACCTGTGGGACTCTGTGTGGAATAATACAGTGTCCATAAAGTCCCTATGCACTTCTGATGTGCAATCATTGAGCTGCTCAGGTGGAAGATCCCGATACTCCTTCTGTCTAGCCAGGCAGTGAAGATGCAGAATACTAGGGGGCTGACAAACCTATAGACTGATGAAATGAAAATAACTTAACCCAGGTTACAGCAGATGCTGGAAATGCTCTGTTGCTATAAACACATTTCTGGCATTTCCAGCTATGTAGTTTAGATACTGCAGCATTGTAAAATAACCCTGGTGCCTCCATAAAATGTATGTATTTATGAATTTTTTTCTATAAATAGAGTAAACATGAAACTATAAATGTCAATTTTCTCTGCAAAGTGTTCAAGGGGTTTTTGAGGATAATGTTCAAATCTGGCACTAATTTCATCCAATTTCCTGCCTACAAACAGTTTGTGTTTCAGTTTCCCCTACGCAGTAATAATGAAATCAGTGTTAGGCTAGAAAAATCTCCTGACAATAGCAACAGATGAATTCCACCAGCAGTGCATATCTCCACAGAATGACTAGACAGGATGAGCTGCATGCTCTTCTGCCTGAGTGGCTCAGTCATTTGTGGGACACTCTAAAATGATTGCACCATATAACATCCATATGAAATGTAATTCCTGAGAAAAATACTAACAGTAATATGAAAACTTGCATGGAAAAGCACTTGACACCAAAAATGTTACCCATATCAAACAGACATGCACACATTTTTCATATCTGTGATGACATGAAGTCATACTGAACCTTACTGTTGATGATGTTGGTTAATGGTTTCCTTGAAGTCTCAAAGAATTTGGGATTGCCTTTGAAAACTGCATTCATTATTACACTGGAACTTCAGTTTTACAATCCCAGACTGTAAATTTTTCATGAATTTACTCACTGTTTCTGTGGTCCTGGTCAAATATCCATAACTTTAATGGATTTTACATTTCTGTAACTTCACATTTTGCCTAGATTTACACTTCATTTTTCTAGTTCTGTCTACGAAAATTTACACTGTTTTACGTTTCATAGTTAAGATCCCAGAATTTCTTATTCGAGGCAATGGACTTCCTGTTAGCAGTTGCATATGGTTCAGTATAAAAATACATGACAGCAGTTGGTGAGATTCCTGAGTAAGGGTTATAAGAAGAATAGGTAATCTATTACAAATTTTTGGTGAGATTCATTACATTCTCCTCATTTGCTGTTTTATGTCCTTGAAGCTATTAAACAATAACAGTGTGTGCATAACATTACATTTGTATAATATATAAAACAAAGGTGATACTAAGAGTTAGGTCAGAGGGTGGAATTGTATTATTGCATATAAATTTGTACATATGTTCTTACTGTGAATGATTTTCCAGATCAACTTGAACTGGAGGTACTGCAACGTAAGAAACGCCGCTTCTTACATCGAATGAATCGAACAGCTCCTGCTCCACTGGGTCCAGCTAGTTCATTAGATGAGACTGACTTAGCTGAAATAAGGAAATGCAACCTAAAACAAGAAAAATCCAAACCAATGTTTCTCAGAAAACAAGCTTTTGTGAAAGAGATTGGTATGTCTCAAGAATCTCCAGTTAGTCTAAAGAAGAAGCAGTGTGCTGATAAATCAAATTTATTTTGCTTTAGCACTGGCAGTACTAGTTCAGAACATTTGGCAAGTTCTGATTCTGGCTCGGAGAAACAAAAGTCATTTCATGAGACAAATTCATCAGATGGCAAGAACAGGAACATTGAACACAAATTAACAAATACGAGAGTGACACCTATGAATGCTGAAACAAGTTTGCCTAATAGTTTCATTGAAAGAGGTTTCCAATTGCCAGCTGAATCACGTAAAGTGACTGCAGTAAAACAGATAAAACAGATATCCAGTAGATATTCTAGTTCACAAAGTCACAAAGGTTCAAAAGAAGATGGTATTGCAGCTTGTCACCAATTAAGTGATGCAGAAAAATCTACACCAAAAGAACGGCAAAGTGTTGAAAATCATAGCAAAGACCCCAGCAGACAAAATTCTGCACAACAGGATGAGATGAGAGTTAAGAAACAGTTGTCAGTAAATGAGACAAGTTCAGAGGGCACCAGGAGTCAGATGGGTTCACAGCACTTAACTGACTCAGGCTTTGTTAGTCCCAAGAATGTATTACCTCCAATACAGTTCACCAGCTCTGTTGACAAGCCACCCTGGATTCTACCTCCATTGTTGTCAGAAAGAAAGCATTCTAGTCAAGGTGAGATTCTCAGTGGATCACTTCTGTACCAATGCTTTTTCCTGTCTTTATAAGGTAAATGTTAAATTCATTGTCCCTGGATAATATAACATTCAGATGATTATGTAAAATTTGAGGTTCTCTCAGCAGTGGTTATGCAGAAGATAGTACTCTTCATACCGGTGATTGTTTCTACTTGCATTTCCCTGGTCCTTTCTAATTAAAATCTGGGTATGAAGTGAGATATCTTCTTTATTTATGTGTAGAGTTTTCATATAACATTCTTACAGATTCATTTTTGTCTAAAAATTCTATTAAAATCATGAGTTCATCAGCGTGCTTATTTATCCCCAGATATACCTGATAAACCAGAGTCTTTGGTTAGTTGGACAGGTAAATTGCTGCTGGCCCTCACCAGCACAGTACTTATTGGATTCTGAGTTCTGTGGGACTCATGACCATATTTTTCTGTCTCATGACTCTTGGAGTTGTGCTACTGCTCTCAGCTGTGAGAGTCTTTCAATTTGTCATCCATACATTTATAGGGGAACTGGGATTGCTCAGTCAGCAAAGTGGCTCATTATGGGGTTAATGTTTGTGGTCTTATTAATAGCAGTGGCAGAAATAGTTCACAGCTGTGTTCAGAATTTGTATAGGGCTCACCCATTCTCCTATTTAATGGGTACTGATGATGGAAAGATCATGAGTACTGAGTAATTTACAGATTTGGAAGAAGGTGACTGTGTCCTGATTGAAGGTACTCATCTGTATAGGTAAACATTTGTCTGATAATTTTGCTACCCAGAATGGTCTAAAACAAGGAGATGCTTTATTGCCACTGCTTTTAAATTTTGCTTTAGAATATGCCATTAGAAAGGTCCAGGAGAACCAGGTGTGACTGAATGGGCCACATCAGCTGTTAGTCTATGCTGATGATGTGAATCTACTGGGTGACAATATACGTAGATACCATAAAGAAAAACACACAAACTTTAATTGATGCTCGTAAGGAGGTTGGTCTAGAAGTAAACACAGAAAACTTAAGTATATGTTGCTATCTTGTCACCAAAATGCAGGGCATAATCATGACATAAAGATAGGTAACAGATGTTTTAAAAATGTGGCACAGTTCAGATATTTGCGAATGACTATAACAAATCAAAACCTGATTGAGGAAGATATTAAGAGGAGACTGAACTCAGTAATGCTTGCTACCATTCAGTTCAGAACCTTTCATCTACTCGTCTGCTGTCTAAAAGGTTAAAAATTAGAATATACAAAACCATAATTTTTCCTGTGGTTCTGTATGAGTGTGAAACTTGGTCTCTGACATTAAGGGAGGAATTTAGACTGAGGTTGTTTGAGAACTGGGTGTTGAGGAGAATATTTGGACCGAAGAGAGATGAAGTGACAGAAGGTTGGAGAAAACTGCATAGTTAGGAGATTCATAGCTTGTACTCTTCTCCAAGTATAATTAGAATGATCAGGTCAAGGGAGATGAGATGGGCAGGGCATGTATCACGAATGGAAGAGAAGAGGAATGCATATGGGATATTGGCGGGAAAGCCAGAAGGAAGGAGACCACTGGGAAGACCAAGGCATAAGTGGGTGGACAATATTAAAATGGATCTTAGAGAGATAGGATTTGGATGGTATGGATTGGATTGATCTGGCTCAGGAGAGGACCAATGGAGGGCTCTTGTGAACACTGTAATGAACCTTCTGGTTCCATAAACTGCTGGGAAGTTCTTGAGTAGCTGCACAATCGGTGGTTTTTCAAAAAGGGCTCAGCTCCATGACCAAGGGAGTGATGCTACAAGTGAGTGTCAGTATTGAGGTCACAAATGGATATAAAACATGAAACATGTGATATTTGGACCTGGAAAAAAAAATTAATTTGTCAACCTATCCCCCACCAATATTGATACACTTGTCCCATCACTTTACCAATGTCACAACCTGCAGTATAGAAGTCTTTTGCCTGTTGCAATCTCAACAGGGCGACCTGGTCAGGCATCATCTGCAACTTTCAAATTTCCTTGAGAGAATTTCTCCACCCAGCTGCGAACAGCTTTACGCGTCAGACACTTCCCACCATAAACAGTAAATATTTCTACAGTCAACTCTCGATTATCCGGGGGCGGATTAACCGGTTTGCGGCTTAACCGGGGTTTTTTTTTTAAGTTTATATGTTGTTTAATATTCATTCACTTTTGTTTCACATGGTGAGTTTAACACTATTTTCGCACTAGTGTGAACCGAGCTCTGCATTATTTCGTCCCGTTATGCGAACACAATGTTCTAGGGTGGGGGTGAAAGAATGCAAGAATTTTTGGAAAGTTTCAAGGACAAATACACCGCCCCAGGTTATTTAACGGTACCATCTCAGTGTGAGAGTGCATTGTGAAAGTAAGTAT